AATGGTAATATGATGTGTTATATGTCGAGAGTGGGGGAGGTGATCGCGGTATAGTAAATTCCTCCGCTTGAGCTAGCGGGCAACCGCAAACCTTCAGATTATCCCTATCGGGCGGGCCCCCCGGGGAGACCTATTCTTTGTGGAGTCCAGCCGTCGGATGAGCCCGGCGTGGGCCGCTATTAATGTGCGTTAGATGTAATAAATACATTAGTACCCATGCTACAAGTGTTGCTCGACCCCTAGGGGCCGATTGGATGGGTCCCCGCTAGATCAAGGCATTGTGCTGCCCACCTGTCGGGCGGGCCCCTATGCAGAAGCCCTCTTTGCACATCGCGGCCGTCGGGTGGGCCGAGGGCCATGTACTAATAGCGCTGCTCAGAGCTGTAAAGATGACAATACTATAGTTTAAATGCTTTTCGACCGCTGGGAGGCCTATCGAGTCGGCCCACCATGGCTTGGGTGAGATGGACGGTCGTCTATCGGATGAGGCCATAGGTAGATGCTCTCCTGGCGTAAGATGGCCGTCGGGTGGGCCCATGGCCATTTACTAATAGCTCTGATCAGAGCTAAAAATATGACAATACTATACTTTGAATGCCTTTCGACCGCTGGGAGGCCTCGGATGGGCCCGCAAGTAGGTGCTCTCCTGGAGTAATACGGCCGTCGGGTGGGCCGACGGCCATGTACTCGTATATTGATAATACACTAACGGTATGCAGACAGCTCTTCATTTTGTATAAACCAGCGGTCGTGTGGGCCGAGGGCTATGTACTAATAGTGATAATGGTTCTATTCAATGCTATACATATGAGAATACTATGATTAGAGTGCATTTCGACCAGTGGGAGACGCATCGGATCGGCCCACAGCGACTTGGGTGAGATGGGCTGTCATCTATCGGATGGGCCTGCAGGGAGAATTCTCTCCGTGGGCCATATCAATTTCAAATGACGCATCCACAATGCTCAAAGTCGAGCTGTAGGTCAGGAATACAGTAATGTGTACGTTTCAATCTAATAGGATCGGTGTTCCCTTACCATCATGTTCGACATCTTATGACAATTTTGTTTCTTGTTGGTAAAGGCCTTGAGATCTGGTATCTACCTAATGGGCTCAAATTAGAAATTGGTTCACCGTCGTTGTCATCGTAAAGGTCATCCTCAATAAATGAGTTATTTACATCAACGGACTCCCTAGGCCGTGTACCAGCATTGACAGACAACCTATGCGCAATGTATTATATACACTGACGGTATACTGTGAACGCCATTCGGCCGCCAGGAGGCCCATCGGATCGGCCCACACTGGCGCAGGTGAGGGGGGCGGTCGTCCATCGGACGGGCCCCCAGGAGAATGATCTCTTGGCATAAAACGACCGCCGGATGGGCCCGCGGCCCAGTCTCCTGACAGCTTGCGTGCGATGTCCCATATGCATTGACGGTATACTCTTGAGTACTTTTGAACCACTATACACTTCTCACCAACTATGGTGTTATCGTGCTCAGCTGGCCTAGGGAGTCCGTTGACACGAACAACTACTTCAGCAAAGATGACCTTTACGATGAGGCAGAAGCTCTAGTGAAGCTAGACGGTAAGGTAAGAGGTTTGCGAGGATATTATCACATGGTAGCGTGCAGTAATATCCTCACAAACCCCTTACCGCATACCATCTAGCTTCACTAGAACTTATGCCTCCTCGTATAGGTCGTCTTCATTGAAGTAGTTGTTCGCGTCAACGGACTCCCTGGGCCAGCTGAGCATGATAACACCATCGTTGGTGAGGAGTGTATAGTAGTTGTTTGCATCAACAGACTCCCCTACTAGGCCGCGTATTAGCACTGACGGACAGCTTAGGTGCGATGTATTATAGACATTTATGGTATACTGTGAGCACCTATCGGCCGCCAGGATGCCCATTGTATCGGCCCACGCTGGCGCAGGTGAAAGGGGCGGTCGTCCATCGGACGGGCCCCTAGACAGATTGCCTCCTAGCAGATGCTCTCCTAGCATAAAACGGCCGTCGGGAGGGCCCGCAGTCCTGACTCACACCCTGTGCACGATGTATAATATTCACTGATGGTATAGGTAGCTGAGAAGCTAAGGTATTTCTCAAAGTAATGATAGGGCAGCTTAAGGCAGAGGCAACCTGATACAACGCGAGTCCACATGAACCAGAGGCGCGCAGTCATCACAGAAAGTGCGGCCGAACAATCGACCACTGTGGCCGCTGTCAGAACAGGTTGACCTTATCATGCATTCTGAGAAATTACATTAATATACGAGCTCTTGTAAATTATACCGGAGGTCTGCAGAACTCGAATCGCGCGTGCAAGGCACTGTGAGGTTCGAGCTCGAATTGTAAAGCCATGTGAGATATTGTCTAAATGGGGTGCCGTTTGGCAAGGCATCAAGTTAGCTTGTCATCGTCACTATATTTATGTCGCTGCCTTGCCAGAATCGTATATGTTTGATACCTGAGTACAAGACTACCCACACTCTGACACCGGGCTTGTACGCGCTGGCGCACTACTCCGGACTAAGGTTAGGGTTAGTAATCCACATATGCACAGCTCTTTCTTGTGGTAGTGTGTTAGGTGGGCATTAGTTTTTTGGGCCGAATCCACCATGTGCTGTCAAATGGAAGCGCCCAGAATAATTGTTGTGCCCAAAAGCGACTTCCTGTATGTGTGACAGCACATGCGCGGCGAAGAAACAACAGGGACTCGAAATTAAAGAGAAAATTGACAGCGTCGCGAATTCGATTTCAGACTCCGATGACAAATGCGGCAACTCCCCTATACTCTACTTGGCTGTGTTCGCGACCATCTGAAATCAACCACGCACCACAAGCCAATGTAATGTCTGAATGCAGAAGTAGACAGCTCATGACGGTTCAGGAGGTTCGGGAGAAGCAAGAGAACCAGAGAAGCGGGAACGGGTGAAAGGACAAAAGGGTGTAGAAGAAGCAGAAGGACTTTGGAATGCCAGAGTTTCTAGTACTTAAGAGACGGGCATCTCTCGCCTGACTTCGTCTCGCCGCCAACCTTCTCCCCGCCATGATGCACCCTCTTGCCACCTGTCGCCTATTATTATTATTATTATTATGTTATGTGCATTTCTAGCGCGCTTAGTCATATACACCTCGCTTTGTATGGGCCTTATGCTCACCTCCGCCTTGTGTACTCCCTTGCATTGTCAGCGGCCACCCTCTGGCTACCCTTCTCTTAATCACGTATTATTGCTGTCGTACATTAGTCGGGTTCAATTATGATATGACAATGCATGACAATAAGAAGTGTGCTATAATCGTAATTTTTGGCTCATAAGAGGTGTGATTAATATATGGCCACTGTACTCATGACGTTGCACCCGTACACAGTCACCTACAAGGGTCACAGTGCCTGTAAGCAGACCCAGCCTTGTAACATCACTCGGGTGCTGACACGGTCGCTTCAACTTCTGTCAAATCCTCCTCATCTTGTCAAAGTTGAAGCTGCTTTGTTTGACTTGTGAGGTACCCTAAGTTACTCCGGCTGCTGTGACCCTTGTAAGCAATTGTGGACCTTATTGTCGGCATCTAAGCCCAGCGCACTTTTAGTGATGGTCAAGCTACCACGACCGATATAGTCGAACGGATCTGCGCGCCTATCCTTAAGCACCGCGCATTCTCGAACCCCCATCATGCCATCCTTTTATAAAAGTAACAACACGATCGCATTTGTAAGAGCCTCCATATCATTGCGTTGTTTTTTGGGGCTTGCTCGCCGCTTCAAATGGATGCTTTCATGAGTCTGCCTTGTTGACCGATGCCCTCCTGTTGTGCCGCATAAATCGTTCATTCTCGCGGGAGTTAATCAAGCATATCAAATGCTATTGATTCAACTACGACAAAGCATGCAAAAAGTATTTATAATTATGGACACTACAGGCGACAAAAAATATGACATAAGATCTACTTGGCGTCATCCTGGGACAGCGCATCTTTGAGCGCATCCGCCGGCACTGTCAGATCATGGGCTTGCGCGACGACCGTGGCGGCTTTCACGTGGAGGGCCTTGAGTGTTTGGGATAACTTCTCAGCACTTGCGCGAGGGTCGAGTCGTAAGTCCTCGTCGTATACCAAGACAGAGCCGATGTTACGAGTGGTCACAGTCTCCGGGGGAGAGGGGGCTGCCACCTCCTGTTTGTGCTCATGTTCGTCGGAGGAGATGACGATGTCGGGCTACTCCTGCTTGATCGACTTCTTGCTGAGCGGCCATTCGAGACTCTGAAACATCAGAGCGTCTATTTGAAGTGAGTGGAGTGTCGATAACCAGATCAATAGCCACGCACTTTATTCCTCCTTCACGCGGGCCTTATTCTCCTTGGGTCTTTGCCATGCTGCTGCTCCTCTTTTCAATCATATCTCCTTGCTCTCCACCTCCTGCCATCTCCACATCTCCATCTTCGTCTTTCTCCTGTCGCACATCAATCCCCCCTTGTCCTCGCCCTCCTGGTCGTCCTCGCCCTCTCCTTCGCTGATGATGACGGCTGTACTATTAGGCACACGGTGAATGCAGCCCTTAGATCGCACTACCATTTTACCGACCGCTGGCGGTATTGCGCCATGTCCCACAACTCTGACTGTGTATGGCGTGATCATGGCCGCTGCTCTACTATCAGCACAAGGCTATTGTTCGAGGAGAACCATCAGCTCATCCGACACCACAGATCTCCATCATACCCTCTGATTTCTTGTACTCTGTGTCATTGCCACCACTAATGGTAAAGGTTGCTCACCAACTTACGAAGGAGGATTGGAGTCTTCTTGCCTCTAAAAACCAGGAATGGATGAAGGCTGCGGCCGACAAGAAAACTCAGGGTGAGGCTACCGCAATCGAATTAAAGGCTGTGGACGAGATCATCGCCCAATACTTGCTTCAAGAACGACATAAGAAACGATTAATTGAAGTGCGCTATACCTTCTTTTGGGTTACCTCCGTTCGCTCACACTTCACATAGCTAGTGAACAATTACTTCGAGGGTCGTCTGCCATTTGGTCAGAATTCCCAGAAGAAGTCGCAGGTTACGACATATTTCAAGAGAAGAAGAAGGACGCAATCGACAAACGTCGCAAGGAGCTGGAGATCGTGGACCTTAGGGATAACTTCGCCCCTGATGTCGAAAAGCTTCCAAGCCAGCGTCATATTGTTCACCACAATACCGTCAGATCGACGGCCTTGAATGTCTTCACAGTATACACGTGGAGCTCCTCCGCGGTGATATCACACGGGCATTGAAGGGGTTGGAGGAGTTGATCGCCGCCAACGAGAGCATGGCAGAGAACCTGTCTCTCTTGAGATCAGAAGTGAAGTGTCAAAGACGGCCGTCTTACGCCAGGAGAGCATCTACCTATGGCCTCATCCGATAGACGACCGTCCATCTCACCCAAGCCATGGTGGGCCGACTCGATAGGCCTCCCAGCGGTCGAAAAGCATTTAAACTATAGTATTGTCATCTTTACAGCTCTGAGCAGCGCTATTAGTACATGGCCCTCGGCCCACCCGACGGCCGCGATGTGCAAAGAGGGCTTCTGCATAGGGGCCCGCCCGACAGGTGGGCAGCACAATGCCTTGATCTAGCGGGGACCCATCCAATCGGCCCCTAGGGGTCGAGCAACACTTGTAGCATGGGTACTAATGTATTTATTACATCTAACGCACATTAATAGCGGCCCACGCCGGGCTCATCCGACGGCTGGACTCCACAAAGAATAGGTCTCCCCGGGGGCCCGCCCGATAGGGATAATCTGAAGGTTTGCGGTTGCCCGCTAGCTCAAGCGGAGGAATTTACTATACCGCGATCACCTCCCCCATCTCGACATATAACACATCATATTACC